ATAGCATCAGTCTGGAGTTATGGGTTCCAATTAAAAAGGAAAACCTATATAAAGGGAACTTCCATAATCTAAAGTGATCCAGGAAAGGTGTTTTACCTAAAGGTGTTCCAGGAAAATAGTGGGAGCTTTAGCACCAGATCAAGAAGCCCCTCTAAACTGCTTTCAACAAGGGTGCAGTTCTAGTCCAGAGTGAACACAAATTCCCATACTGGAGGAATACCTGACACTGCTAGCTTTGTTTACATGTTAGTTGCTTAAAGGACATAACAGTTAAAGAATCTGAAAATCTGCACCTCTCCCTCTGGTCCTAATATGTGGCCTCTCACAAACCTAATTTCACCATCTGCATGGACATCTGCAGTGACAAAGCCTATGTGTAAAGACCTCTATGATTATAGGCTCAGGCAGACTTGGACTCTTAACTGAAGAAGGCTGCAGGACCCAGGGAGTCCGATATGCACAGAAGCCTACATATGTAGTCTTCACCACCTAGGTTGTCTATACTAAGGCATGGATGGCAGGAGCAGGGGAGCAATGGATCATTAGGGATGGGGTAGAGATGTTGGCCCACAGCTACTTTCATCATGTGATTTCCCTTCAAATGAGAGATATGCAAAGGAGATGCTTATACTGCATTCTACCTGAAAAGCAGATGCTATATTGAAAACAATTTGTGCTGGGACAAAGGGGGTTGGACACCATTACAAGAGTATCAAGATAGCCACAACTTAAATGCATAATATTGGGGTCATACATTAATAATAAATCAGCCATCTGTTAAATCCCTTAGCAGGTGCTGTATGGAATGCAGTGGCTCAAGTGGTTAAGATGCTGACTCTGTTGATTGCAAGATCAGCATGTTGGCAGTTCAAGGCCTGGGTGCTGCGTGATGGGGTAAGCTCCCATCACTAGTCCCAGCTTCTGCCAACTTAGCAGTTTGAAAGCATGAAAATGCAAGTAGATAAATAGGTACCACTTTGGTGGGAAGGTAACAGCATTTGGTGCAGTCATGCTGGCCAGATAACCACCAGAGGAGTCCTCAGACAATGCTGGCTATTTGGCTTAGTAATAGAGATGAGCACTGTCTCCTATGGTTGGACATGACTTGACAACCTTGTCAATGGGGAGTACCTTTCCCTTTCCCTTAGGTGCTGTATCCCAGTCAATCAGTGTTGATTAAGCCCTATTTGGCAGGTGGAAGAATGTCTTACATCTTCCCTGACTTCAGGTCAGCCCCCCAACCTATTTGCTCTGCTATCCCCCCTAAGGTCCCACCCTGTTCACTTTCTATCATGCCTGATGTCTGCTTCCTTCCAATAACCATCAGTTGTGACAAAGCAGCATGCATGGATTAGAATCTGGTATGTGTACATCCAAATACCACATGTACTGATATCCTGAAAGGAAGTACCAACAAAAAAGCAGTAATACAAGATAGGTAGCAAGATGAACATGTGTACTCCAAACTGATACCCCCAGGAAAGGTGAAAAACTCATGCTTCAAAAACATGCAAATATTCCTTCTCAGGCCCCAAAGGTGACCAGCTAAAGACTGGAGACATGGTACAAGCACAAGAAACACAATAGAGGGAGGGTGGTTGGGCCGCCTAGCCTCCAAGGAAGGAAGGGAAGGGAAGCATGCGTGCAGGCCTATATAGATCTATTTTGTCTTGAAACAAATTTTGCCGGATCTTGCAGTCCCGGAAAATTTGAGCGAGATCTGGAGCAAGATATGGCTTTGATCTTGAGCAAAGTCTTGCAATGGTTGGGGACCACTACAAGACTTCTCAGTTATTACTCGAAGCAGCAACACAACACCCCCCCGTGCTGGCCCCCATGAAGGTTTGGTGCAAATGCACCCCTCTGGGAGGCATTGGGGTAAGTATCAGGAGAAACTTTCAACTTTTAGAAGCCACATTTTGAAGCCCCTCTGTTCAAAGCTCTGGAGCAAGGAACCATAACATATGAAATCACACCACAGCTGTACTGCCAATTAGACAAATTTTACTTAAGGCTTGACAAACCACTTATAATGTGCTTTAGGATGGATGACTTAACTAATGTCACCATTTTGTTTCATCAACAGAAAGCTGTACAAAAGAGATTTCATAGCAAACCTAACGCAGGGCTGATGATAGGAAATTGCCCTGTTGTCTGCATGGAATAAAAAAATGTTTTTAATGCAGTCTTAGAATAATTTTTAATGTCTTGTGATATAAATACTGTACAAGACTTTTCTGCCAGCTATAAATTCTACAGTTTAATAACTGCATAGATCTATACCAGAAGTTAGAAATATATATAAATTTTGGATTGCAACTCCCTGAACTTAGAAGGTTATGAAATTTTTATTCTCCAAAAGTAAATTTCCCATTCTCCAATTTATAATCAGTTGCTTGGTAAATGAGATCTATGCCTCATACAATTGCCTTACACACTAAATATAATTGAGTATCATTTCAGAAAAATGTTCAGCAATAAAGAATGTGACAGAGTGATCTACTAATCAGAAAAAAATAATAATTAATGTTTAGATCGAGAATACACCAATATATGTAGCAGTCTTTTTGGCTTTCAGCTTCTTTATCAGCATCTTGGGAGGGGGGGGGTTCTGTGTGACTTCAGATTATTATACGCCCTAAAATAATCAAATATATTAATTCTCAGTTCCTTTCCACTTTCCACAGGATTAATTTACTTAATGGGGAGCTTCAGAAAAGAATCTGTTTCATAAACGGATTTATAGTCTTTTCCCCTAGAGTAATTTAATGTGATAAACTGAAGAGGGTCTACTGTTCCATCAGTTATGCAGATGTTTATGTTCTGTTGATTACAGGCTAATTAGCAGAATTACAAATGTAAAAGTCAAAGCAATAAAATCCTTCTGAAAAATCTGAAGAGCTGAAAATGGTACATCCACTTAAATTCACACATATAACACACATAAGCATGTTCTACCATCATCTATTATCTATCTTGAAGTGCACCACTGTTGTTGTTGTTGTTGTTGTTGTTATTGTTATTATTATTATTATTCACTATTTTCTATCTTGAAGCACACCAGAAATTTTTCCTAACTATATTTTAACAGAATTGTCCAATCCATAAGTCATGTATGGATAAAAGATATATTCCTTGAATTTACAGGTCTGCAAGTTTTGCGTTTGCATAAATAAATAAATAAATAAATAAATAAATAAATAAAGTGTGCATGCAGAGCTGCCAGCTAGGTGAACTGATCTGGAAAACATGCCTGCACATGAGCTTCAAATGACTGCCCTAAGGCATCTGATTCAGAATGACAGTTTCCTCCTAAGGAGATGGACTAAATTCACCAAATGCCCTGCTTACAACAGACCTGAATATCTCCCAAGAGCAAAATCACAATGACATAACAAGGTAAAACAACACAATGACATACTTTGTGCTCTTTTAAAAAAGGAAAACACAAAAAGAAAATCAACACAACACTTCTAACCAAAATTTTGGACCACAATTCCTTCAGGACAATATAGTATAGATGACACATTCTTTAAGGAAAAATGAGTCAGGAAGACTATTTTATTTGAAGCATATCCAGAAAATCTCACCATAAACTGGAAAATATAAGATCCTCTTCCAGGATCCTTGAAGCCAAAATACCCTAATGGCACCAGATTCCATCTGATCTTGGAAGTTAAGCAGGTCAACTCTCGTAAGTACTTGGATGGGAGACCACCAACGAATACCAGGTGCAGTAGACTATATTTCAGAGGAAGGAACTAACAAAACCACCTTGGAGTATTCCTTGCCTAAGAAACTCCTATGAAATTCATGGGGTTCCTGTACATCCACAGGCAACTTGAAGGCGTGCGTGCACACACAGATCCTTAAATCAAGCCCAAAGTCTTAAAAGAAAGGTTATAGAACTGTGCCACTGACATACATAGTGAATGCAAGTCACTAGAAGCTATCTCCTTTTTTGGTAAATCTTTAATAAGAAGCAGAACAGGTTTGAGAGATCTTTCAGTCTTTTGAACTTTTCCACTGTCATTTATGTCAGGAATGCTGCTACTATGATTTTACAGAGGTTTTGTGAGTCTAGGTTTGTGACCTTCCAAATGGCTTAGCTGCTGCTGTAAAAATTAAAAACTAAAAAAAAGTAAAATAAAGTGTGGCTTTTTGTTACTAATGGGGGGAGGCAGTCATCTGGAGCAAATGCCAGACATACATGCTTTTCAGATACACCTACCATTTTATTGTGCTTAATCCTTTCAGTATTCTCCTACTGTTTTCCACAGAACACCTAATACCTTTTATGCGAAACATTTGAGTGCCATGAGACATCTGTACACAGCTGAAGGCTGCAATCCTCATTATGAGAGTAAGCTTAAATCTTGCATTCTTGCATTCTATTATCCATTCCTGTACTATGCAAGACCTTCCACAAAAACACTGGCAATTCATTGAACAGTAGCTACATTCCTTAGCATGGTAGCCCCATATATATTTAGCTAAAGCACATTGTGAAGATTCATCAAGACATAGCAATGAGAGCAATGGAAGAAATGATGACCTCTCCTGTAATAGAAAACAATGGGGGCAATGTACACAATGCATTTTCATTATATGTACAATGCAGTGGAATTTCCTAAGAATGCTCTATGAAACTAGAGAGAACTTCAACAAGTGACCTTTTAGGACTACAATTCCCTGAATCCCCCAGCCAGCTTGGTCATACAGACTGAGGAACTGTGCAAGCTGTAGTCCCAAAATATCTTTTCTCCATGCCCTGTTAATGCAAGCTCACACCTGGAAAGAAAAAAGTAACTCACAAAAAGAAGGGCAAGATTTTGTATAGACCAGCCATAAGTGCTCAAACATTCTGTAACATCCGCATGCATTGTAGGCTCAGATACTGTAATTACAGCTAATCACTTTTCATTATCCCTTGTGAAGGCAGCCAATACTGGAGAAGCAGGCAATCGCAGAAGCGTGAAAGCTGTTTTCCACCCCATAGAGCCAGTGTGCTGTAGTGGTTTGAACGTTGGACTGAGACTCTTGGAGATCAGGGTTCAATTCCCCGCTCAAGCATAGAAACCCACCAGGTGACTTTGGGCAAGTCATACTCTCTCAGCCTTAGAGGATGGCAATGGCAAGCCCCTCTGAAGACACTTGCCAAGAAAGCCCTATGATAGGTTCTAGGTGCCTTAGGGTTGCCATAAGTAAAAAATGACTTGGAGGCAGAAAACAACAACAACCCTCCCTGGGATGATGGGTTTGATGCAACCAGAAGTGACAGCACATCACTGTTTTCAGCTGATTATTTATTTGTTGCATTTATTTATTGCCTCTGGACCCATCAGGGCCCATGAAACAAGACACAATAGGGAAAGACACTTTTACAACAGTAAACAAACAATAAAACCCAATAACCAAGGCTTCTCTTTGAAAATAGCTCCAAAGCCAGTTTTAAACACAGCCAGAGTAGACACAGATACTCAAAGTAGACTTTGGCTGACCTTTGGATCTTAAAAGTAGATATGCCTACTTTTAAGATCCAAATGGTAACCAAAGTAGCAAAGCCTTCACTGCCAACAGAAACATGAAAGGGTGGTGCCAGCCTGACCTTCCTTTAGAGGAAGTTCCAAAGTCAGGTGCTGCTGAAGAGAAGACCTTGCTATGTGTATCCAGGTTAGTCTCATGAGATGGTGGGACATGTGATGAGGCCTTCACTGATGAGCTTATATTTTAGGCAGGCTCATATGGGAAGAGAAAATGTATCCTGGCTCCAAGCCATTTAGGGCTTTATAGAGACCAGTACCCTGAATTGTGCTCAGAAGCAAAGAGGAAGCTAGTGCAGTTCTTGTAAGACTGGTGTTACATGGTCTCTAAATGCATGCCTGATGACAGTCTGGCCACCACAATTTGCACCAGCTGTAGCTTTTGAACATTGTTCAAGGCGGCCCCCACATACAGTGCATTACAGAGGTCTACTAGGAGTTACTAAGGCATGAACTGCTATGGCCAGATCTGCTCTACAAGGAAAGGGCAAAGCTGTTGTGCCAATTGAAGTTGGGCAAATGCACTCTTGGGCACAGCAACTGCCCGCCTTTCCATGAGGAGCACTGGCTTCAAAAACTACAAACCTGACCTCTCAGGAGGCGTACAACCTTTCTGCATCCAATTTTATTTTGAAAAATCTCTTAAAGGTACTTGGGGACAAACCCATTGGTTTCTGTGATTTGAACTTTTTCTTCTATTTAGAGACAACAACCAAAGATTTTTTTTAATGGTTCAGGCATTTTGTGGGTTCTAAAATGGGTCTTTTTAGGCTGCATGTGGCATGTACACCACACTTTCCACACTTCTGCAATACTGTATGAGAGGGATGGTTCAGACTAAGGTTACAGAATGTGGAAAGTATTCTGACTGCTTGTTTTGCATTAATATTATAATACTGACATTGCTAACAATACCAGTATACAAGCTTTTGGGACTCTGAATGTAACTCCACAATTAAGTCTAACATGCAACAGATACTGAAAAAAAGTTAAATATGGAACAACAGTTGAACACTGGCTGTGATTATGGAAACTATGTGTAAGTATGAAAGGAGTGAAATCTTTAAGCTATATTTCCAAGGAGAAAAACTACACCTTGGGTACAAGTGCTAATGTGTATACATTTAACCAATTTAGCTGGCAGGGCATGTGTTACTTAAAAAAATAATTTACATACAGATTAAGCAGGAAAAAACCCCCAGGGTGTGACTGGATCCACAAGTAATAAAGAGAGAAAACAAGATAAGCACTCTTTGAAAATATGGCATTATCTCCTTCTGGTTTTTACTATCACATAGAGACAAAACATCAAACATTGGACTGTATCCAAGAGTAAATAAATGGATGAATGGGGGCATTTTCACCTTTTTCTTTATTTTTGCAATATTTGCATAATTTGGCTTGCTAATCAAGCACTAGTAAAATAAACTGTGCTGGGAGCATCTTGCCATCTTATCATGCCAGTGACTTTCAATCTGGTTTAGTCCTGCAGGTCAAAGATAATGAAGTTAGAATTCACTGCATATGTCAGAAAAACTGGAAACAATCAGTGTAGCCCTGACAGAGCTAGCATGACAAAGAAAGAACCTACGTTCTCCTAGGCATTCTCAGTCTCTATATTCTCAATTCTAAGAGTTGTACATGCAAACTTTAAAAAAAAAAAATCAGGGGTGGGCTTCAGTATATATTATATCTTTTATTGTTCCTTAGTTTACCAGTTACATTTCCTCTTTAAAGTCTGAAACAGGAAGAAGTACCCAAAGAAATAATTAAAGATACTACTGCTATTACCTGTGTTTCACAAGAGAATGTGCTAATGGCCTATCAAAAAATGAAAATGGAACTTCAAGCACCTACATTTCATTAAAAGCTAATGGAAATTGAGACACATAAGCTTTATCACTATAGACTCTTAGAACGTAACCAGATAACTTTTCTGTTTTAATTTCTCTTGAATATAGTATTTGGTCATGTGCCTTTGAAGACATGATTAGGTCCTTGATTCAGTAATTATGTTCAAGCTTGTTAATTCAAAACAACAACCTCCATTTGAATTGCTGATTTACAAAACCTTAAGAGGCTGGCAGTATAATTCTGCATATGCTACAGGATTAGTAGTCAAGTCTTTCAATACAGAGACAGAAGGATAAGCGAAGCATGGATTAACCAGATCTGACAGCATTTGTTATCACTGAATGCCAAGATAATTATCCTTTATCTTCTTTCATTGCTTACATTAAATTTGTACAATTTTTGCAACAAACAATCCTATTTCCTACAGTTTTCTAATACACCCACACACAAACACATACAAACATATATTTGTCATATTCACTAGAATGTGCATAGTTGGCCAGGTTCAAAAAGCTTCAGTACATGTTTTCCAACTGAAAATATTTCAGTTAATAACCATCCACTTTCTCTCCAGCCACTCCCCCTTTGCAGTATCCTTAGCTTACAGCTAAAACATAGGATCAGCAAATCATAAAATTTATTGTTGCTATATCGACTATTTTTAACTTCAATTAAACAACAGAATGTCTGCATGACTAGTAAAAGACTACTCTAGAACCCCCTCGCAAAGGGGTCTTGTAGCACCTTTGATACTAACTGAAAGAAAAAAGTTGGTAGCATGAGCTTTCATAGGCTTTAATCTATTTCCTCAAATCTAAAAAAGCTCATGCTACCAGCTTCTTTCTTTCAGTCAGTCTCAAAGGTGCTACAAGATCCCTTTGCATACTAACATGTTTCTGAATTCTCTGTTGTACTAAAACTGAATTCTCTGTTGTGCTAAAATTGAATATGAAGATATTAAAACATTTGAAACCACAAATGTTGTGGTCTGAGCAGATATACTATGTATGTTCCTTATTTAGCTCAACTTTAAATTATGCAGGGGTTTCCTTAAATATATTCATTATGAATGCAATGGGTGGACTATATCCCATAATTATTGCGAAGGTGAATGGGCAAAGAACGGGAAAAGAGGGAAAAGACATATAAATCTTACTTTGTGTCCAAAGAAAATTAAGGTGTTGCTTATTACTGGGCATGTCAACTGAAAAGTCTCCCCTGAATTCAATTTGCTCCAAAGTAAATAATCATTTGTTGTTTGTTTTTATCTGCCTTTGTATCAATCTCAACCCATGGTGACCCTATGGATGAGACATCTCCAGGCCCCCCTGCTCTCTACTGCTCTGCCCAGCTCCTGCAAATCATATTTGTGGTCTCTTTAATAAAGTCCATCCATCTATCATGTGGCC